CTCTCTCTCTCACACACACACACACACACACACACAGCTGTCCAAGTCACAGGGGATTAGTACACTCTCCCAGTCTGATGAATTGGAGACTGAAATCGGAACGTCCTAGAAAAGAGTGTGTGCGTGGCAGACGACGGTAGCGGTGCACTCAGTCTCCTCCATACTCTGTCACAACACGGTTCAACCTTTGATCTGATTGAATTGGAGGGACTCGGGGAAAAAAAATATTTGTCCCCACACCACCCTTTCTAAAAAGTGTCCGGTCTCCTAGGTATGAACGTTACCAGTGCTTTGTAGCTCTGCTGAGCTTCGGGCTTTCTGAGGTGCTTCAATCCACGCTGTCTCCTTAGTAAGCACTGCCATTAACTGTGCCCAGGGAAGGGGACATTCCAGCAACAGCGGGAAGCTTTCTTCAGCGTTTGTCGCTGAAGCCAAGGCCCTCTTTAATAGCCATGTTATCTGAAGAAATTTCGCAGCTATTTTTCATCCAAGATGTCAAACCAATGTGCTTTTTTATATGGCTTTAAGCGTTAGAGTTGGAGATGCTGACGCTTAAGCTGTCTTGCCTGAGAGACTTTTAAGTTTGTCACTCAGACTTCGAAATTGTGTCAATTCTATATTGGACTAATTTTTTGGTCCACCCTGGCGTGTGTGAACTGAAGAGCGACTGGGATGTGGTGTCTGTAGCTTGTGTGGCAACTTTGCCTACAATTCAAATATTTTTAAAGGTAACCAAGGATGAATCGTCGTCCTATAAATTTTGGGGTCTGTCTGACTGGAACTCAGTCAATAATAGGCAGAGCTTTTAACATCAGATTTAGTGACCCCGGTGTGAAATCTCTGACACCTATTTTTTAAATCCTAAACTAACCTGTGTTTGCCCACCCTCTTTAAAAGGAAGCCAGAGTGACAGCTCTTACTGATATTATCTATGATCGTTTCCAAAGCGGAACGATTTGCATCCCCCCCCCCACAAACACACTCCTTTCTTTATGCCCCCTCCTTAAACCTCCACTTTTTCTCCCGTATAGTTTTCCGTGCCTTCCTCTACCTCAGTCTGGGGAGCGCTCCCTTAGCTCAGCCGCTGGGAGAACTCCATCATCTGTATCAGTGAAATGAAAAGAAAAAAAAAAAAAAAGACCTGCGTCCTGGAAGAGCCAGTGTGAGCCGGGCGCCGCGGTGCACAACGCCCGCAGATGGCTCGCAGAGGCCGGGGCGCGGCAATCCAGGCGCCCCAAGCAGTGGCAGGGCGGGGTGGGGGCCGGGGCTGGAGGCCGGGGCTGGAGGCCGGGGCGGGGGAGCACGGGGCCCCTCTCCCCTCCTCTCTTCCCAGCCCCTCACCCCCACCCCTTTTATATATATGTATATGTATTTTTTTCCTCCCAAGTTCTCTTGCCTCGCTATCCCCCCTTGAATCCGAAGGCGCCTCGCGATTGGGTGCTGGGGCCGGGTACGTCAGTGGGACTGTGACGTGCAGTCTTCCTGTTTCCTTCAGCTGTGTCTTAAAGTAAATCTTGTTGTGGAGCGGAGCCCTCAGCTGAGAGAGCGCTGGGAAAGCGTCCGCCACTGCAGCTGGGGAAGCCGCGCGACGCACACGAGCTTCACCGCCGCGCCCGCTGCGCCTCGGGCCATCGCGCCGCGCTCCGCGCTCCAGCCCTCGCCTCCTCCTCCGCTCCTCTGCTTTCTCTCTTCTTTCCCCGGGCTCTGGGCTCTGCCCTGCGCGCCTTTCCCCTCCCCTCCCTCCTTACTCCCCTCTTGTCCCAGCACTCGCCCGGTTCACTCGCTCTCGCACAGACTCACCGACCCCTGGGCCAATTATCACTCGTAAGACATCACTGCCTGCGCGCGTGGGTTTCTTCTCTCTGCCCGCAAGAGAGAGAGAGAAAGAGAGAGAGAGAGGGAGAGAGAGAGAGAGAGAGAGAGTGAGAGTGGCTGCGCCCCGCTGCTGCCCGCACCGCGTAAGTATCTTCACCCGGTCGCTGTCCCCTCCCCTTTTCCAGAACCGCTCGCACTGGCTTGTTCTTGAATGGGAAGGAGAGAGAGAGAGAGAGAGAGAGAGAGAGAGAAGAGCCTCCCGTTACTCACACCCGTGTAAACATTCTTTTTCCAGGGGGAAAAATGGTGTTATTTACATGAATCGTAATCAAATAGCCTCTAAAAACAGTTTTCTAAGCAGGAGCCTCAGTGGAACTCCGAGCTCCTCTCCTCTCAGTTACGAAGAGTAAGTGATCCGCTTGGCTTTTCTTTCTTTCTCGTGCCTGCCGGTGGCTGGGGTGGTGGTGGCGATGGGGGAGAGGCTGGCGTTGCCGGACTTGTCGCTGATCTTGTCACCTTTTGTGTACCGTGCGTGGGGTGCGCTGAGGCTCTGGCTTCCTTTTATTTTTATTATTTTTTTCTCTTACTCTCCTCAGGAGAGGGGGCCGCGCGGGGGACCGAGTCCCTTTTTGTTGTTCTTCTAGATTTCTTGCTGTCTTCCCAGCCCCTTCCTTCCCTTGTACCCGGGTAGAAACTCCAGGGCCTGTCCCCAGTCCCTTCCCTTTGTCTTGTTTATTCTAGCTGCCTTTCTTCCCGGCTTTTCCTATTTGCTTGGTGTTTGCATACCTTTCACTTCTCCTTTTTAACCCCGGGCCAAGGGCCGGCCGTGGGGAGGAGGGCGGAGAAGGGGGGGGGGGCGCAGGGTGACTTTCCTCTCCCTGCGCGTTCAGAGCTGGGAGCTTGCACCGGGCTCTACAGCCAAGGAGGGACAGTCCCGAGGAGCGAGCGCGGTGCCCCTCCACCCAGTCTGTGCGCCTCGCTGGCAGGCACAGAGTAGGGGCAGTTGGCCCAGGAGCCTCAGGACGCCGCGCGCTGCGGAGGGCCGGCCCTGGGTCGGGGTGTGCTTGGGCCGCCCATGGGCGAGAAGCCCCCAGCCATTACAGGCACGCTCGGGTAGTGGGCAGCTGCGCTCCGGCTTCGGCTGGGTAGTGCTCCAGTGTTGCCCCAGTTCCTAGGACTGGGAGGGAGAAGAGCCCAGCTGAGCGGAGAGGTGAGAGCGGTTGTTGCTGAGTAGAATGGCTTGGAGGGCGGGAGGACAGGGGAGAGCTGCTATCTTGCCTGAACAGACAAGGAGAGGAGACGGGGGGAGGGGGGCGGTAGACATCACCCAAAGTCCAGCTGAGCAAGTTGTCGTCGCCTCGACAGTGCCAGCCAGTCAGTCCTGCTAAAACTGAGCGCCTGTGCTGAGAGCGATGCCCCCCCGCCCCCCCCCCCTTGGAGAGAGCATCGAGCCACACTCAGATTCTCCTGCCCCTGCCCAGCTTCTTGGGAAGTTAAGTCCTCTGGGCAGACTAAGAGCAGAAGCAGAAGGAGGGGCTGAGGGATAGTCTTGAAGAGGCTGGCTGGAGAGTGAAGCTGCTGTTCTTGGCAGCCCAGAGCCCTTCGCCTCGGGGAAGGCTGGAAACTCACCTGCTTACTTATGTTTTTCCGAGAATATCTGCGTTGTCTCCTTAAGCTTATGAAAATAAAGCAGGCCCAGGGTGGCCTCCTCTTAAAGTCAAGGCTGAAGAGTCAGTCTCCTGTCTGGTTCTCTGCCCTCCCCAACCCTCCTTTCTTTTACCACCCCCTCTCGTACCCCTCTGTTAAAAAAAATCATTTCCTCTCCTAAACCAGGCAGACAAAAGTCTGTTAGCAGAATGCGCATGGGCAGGGCTGGACAGGTGTGTTGTGTCAAGAGAGGCAGGTGCAAGTTTCCTGGGTGCCTGTGTTTCTGTACAGCTCCAGACCACAAGGCTTCAGGACTGAAGAGGTTCATGAATTTATGGTGGTTCTGGTTAATGGGATTGCCAGGCTAATGGGAATCGGGCTGTTGTGTTCTGAGCCCTTGCCATGAGATTTTTTTTTTTTTGGAAGTGGGGGTAGTATTTGTTTATTTGTCTTAAGGATGTTGGCAGGTGACTGTGGCGGCCCTATCTCAGGCTTCTGTCTGCCAAAAGCACACCCCACTTCAGGATAGCAGGTGGAGAGAGTTGACTTTCTCTTTGCCTCCCTTCAGTTTCTGCCTGTCTGGCCGGTCAGAGAGGGGGGCGGAGAGATCCTTTGTGTGTGTGTGTGTGTGTGTGTGTGTGTGTGTGTGTTGGACAGCAATGGGTGGCTTGTAACTGCCCAAAATACCAAAGTCAGTTCCCAAGTGTCCAAGTGTGACTTTCTGCTAAAGCCTGTCTTTGTAGTAGGCTTTCTCCCTGCCCAGAAAGAATAGGTATGTGTTTAAACTCTTTCAAGCCCTGTGTTAAATACTCTCATGAAGTGAACTGGGCCTGTCTCTGTATCAGACATGTGCCTGGTGTCCTAGAAAGGACTTGGATGGAGAGGGAGAAGCTGAGTCTGTGCAAGGGAACCCGGCTCTGGCGATCTGATGGGAGACCCGGGCAGCCAGTTCTATGAAGAGGTTCTTGCAAGAACTTCGGAGTGGTTTCCAAATGACACAGGCTGCTGCGTGCAGAGAGAAAAAAAGGAAGCCTGCTTGTGTGCCAGGGAAGATGCTGGGAGTTTTGTGTAAGTGCTGTGTCTGGGTGTCTGGCTTCTCAAAACTTGATCTTCTAGGCTGCTGGTTAAACAGTTTACTTCCTTGAGTTGAGTTGTGTGGGAATAGATCAGATGGCGGACAGTCTTTGTTGGTTAGTTTTGTCGTTTGGAGGCTATCTCTGTTTCCATGAAAATGACAGGTATGTGTCACTTAGTCTTCTAACTTAAACATCAGTCACCCCTCCCCTACTAGCTCTTTCTTTGTATGCTTTTGGAGGTTATTTGATAATGAAAATGCCATCCATGGCTATGTTCATATGCCTTATTTTTGATAGGCGTTAGTCACGCTTGGCACTTATTGATATTCTGTGTGCCCATGATGCAGGATTCTGTTTAGTTTAATCACCACCTTGTGGGGAAAAAGTCGTGCATACACGATACACATCTTTGTTCTCGCATGCTCACTTGCTAGCTAGGTCCCTCTGCGAGCAGGCTGTGCACCCTTCCAACCTGAGCTAACTCACTCTGCAAGCTGCCAGGCTCCTTCCCAATTTTTCTAAACCCATAAAGTCCCTTCTCCCAAATTTCTGGTATCACTTCAAGTATGGCCTCAACTATATGCTATCAATTTTAAAATTGTTTACTTGTTAGAATTTTCAAAGAAATTATAAAATGCTAGTGATGTTATATGGTGTGAAAACAGATTATGCATGGCCATGGTTATAGGTTTCAAATTCAGTATTTGTATAAATTGAAAGGGAACATAGAAGAAATTTCTCCAGTCTTATTGCCTAGTGCATTCCAAAGCTTCAAAGGATATTTTGAGTATTCTGGTTTTTCTGCAAAAAGAAGAAAAAGTGTGAGTGCATTTTTTAGGATTGTTTCTCACACTCTTGTATTTGCCTAATTTGATGAATTGTAACTTTGAAATAAGTGGAAATCAATATCTTGGGCAGGTCTCAGAAAGAGTTCTGTGTTCGTTTTTCTGGTGAAAAATGAATGGAATTTCAGATAGCATGGAGGACTCATACATGAAATGGTTATGATTTGAAACCTTTTATTGTAAAAGGAAATGTAAAATTTTTGTCAATAATCTCTCAATTCTTTAAAGCATTAACTTATGCCAAGTAGTTTTCTTAGCCTCGTAGCATGTAGAAATATCTCTAAAATAAAAGTTGCTAATTAGCAGAAATGCAAGGAGGGGTCGGCGAGTGACTTAGTGTATATGCGAGTCAAAGTACCTGACTTTCCCCTGTTGAATTCAGGCTGACTTTCAGAATGACTTCTAGTATTGAGGATGATACTCCACTTGAAACCATATGACCAGCTTACCTCATTAAGGCCCCTTAAAGATGACTTTGTAAAAGAAATACAATTCAAGCCATTTCTCCAAATAATTTTATCAACCTAGACAGAAATCTAAATAACTGCAGCAGGAAGCCATGCCAGCCTTACGCTCCCCATGCTCATAGAAGATCTGCCTGAACTATCTGGATAATCACCATAATGAAACACTTCTTTGTCTGGAATCTGGGCTCCAGAGAGATGTAGGAAAAGTTGCACACCCCCTCCTCAAAATAACTTGTTTTATTAAAGTTGAGCCCTGAGCCACTTCGCTTCATATTGTTGTGTTCCTTTGAAATTCTTTGCTGAAGATTATTTGTTCCAGCGTGAAGTCAGCAATGTCCTCTGGGTTGCTCCTCCTTGGGAAACAGAATGCAGGCCCTTTGGGTTTCAAGGAGGCACCGTTAGGAGCAGTTAGAGCTGACTCGATCGTGTCTTGAAGTTATTTTCCCACTGTTTTTTTTTTTTTTTTCAAGAGGCATCCGCTGTGTTGTGCTGTTGTACAGGTGCTGTTAGAGCGTGCATGTAGGCTGCATGCTGACCCACACGACACGTGTGTGATAATTTAACATTTGGACATAGATTTCCACATGAATTCAGGAGAGCTTTCTGAAGCATAGGTACTGGGACAGTGATTGTCTGGTCCGGACCCTGTTATCACTATTTCCCCATCTTTTTTATACTGTTTCTCACCAGGACTGGCCCAGAGGTTTTATAATGCCTGCTTAAGCTCCAAATCAATGTTAAAGTGAAAACATTATAAGAATCCATAGTAATTGGAGTTGAAACCCGCAGCTCAGCTCACATGCTTAGAAATGTGAAGTTGTTGGGTACCTCAGTGGGTTGGCACCGTGGGCACAAAGTCCTGGGAACTACAGGTTGAAAATGAAGGAAACCCTTGGAAAACGTTCGTAGCGGTTTTAACTTTGCCATGGTCACTTGATAGTGCATTTTGATGTGGAAATATATTTTTGTACATTGGTTTAGTAAAATATGCTAGACATGTACTAGGTCAGCCACCTATTATTTTTAAATCTTGCCTATAATGCCCCTGGATTATGGCCCTGAGTTGTATGGTCACTCTCTTTTTATTTCTGTTTCAATGTTGAGCTGTATGGAAAACAAATCAATGTGTACCAATTAACATAGTGTCCTGTCTTACTGGATACAATAATATTTCCCATTTAATTTTTCTGTTGTTTACATCTCAGTTGGACATTTTACACAGAAACCTAAGGTATTTGTAGTCTCCTTGCCTAAAATGGAAATAAATCATTACTTAATTTTTAAATGATACCTGGTTCAGATTTTTTTAAAAAATCAATTTAGCTTGGTGGATTTGGAGGGAGTTACAGGCTATTGAGTCTCAATGGGCCCAGTGCATATGTTTAATTAATATTTATTCTCCACTGAAGATGAAGGAGTGGAGCCGTCCCACCTTAGACGAGCCCAGCCTCCTCTTGGCTGTGGCATGAGGCAGGGAAGCAGCTGTGGATACCTAGGCTACATGAGAGGAAGTGCAGTTGACACAGAGGTGAATGGCAGCTGGGAGAGGAAGGATGCCTGGATGACCTTGTGCTGGTCCACACACACTGGCATGTCCTCTGGGAGCCTCTGAGCCAGAGGTGTTCTTCAGACTCCAAAATGGGCGGGAGGGAAGGCCAGTCTGAGTAGCAAGGTGAACAGGGTGGGAAGAGACAGCATGGAGCTTCTTCGGCCTTCACTGGAGGTCCATGTGCGTTGCAGGTGATACTGAAGAGAGAAAAAAGGTTTGCACACGTGTACAAATGACTAGAAATCTCAGATGGCAAAGAAAGCTGCTGTAGGTACAAAAGAATCTTCCTTGTAACCACCGACATCCCAGTGTTTCTGTGACTCGGAAATTGTCCCTGTTTCTGGTCTTGCTCTCACCTGACAGCCTCACCTGTTTTACCTGTCAGGCTCAATGTGCTGTCAGCAAAATATGTGTTGCTGGGTTTTGTCATACCCAGATCAATTGTGTTATTAGTGGGTGAGGAGTCTCTTTTATTCTGAACTCAATTTCAAACACAGTATTAAAGTCATTGAGATCCCAAACTCCAACCTCAATTCAGGATATTTTGCCTTGAAGTGTTTTACCCTCAGACATACAGAAAGCTCGAGAAAGAGTCACCACCTTGCCTCAGGACACCCTGAAGCAGGCTCTTCTAAAAACATTTTTGTCTTCAGAGAAAAACACCAAGAGCAAACACAGCATGGTGAAATATTTGTCACTAAAAAAAAAGAAGAAGAAGAAGAACATATTGTTGCCATGTAAGCATGGAGCATTTTCTTGATTTTTACAGATTATTCCATGCTGAAATGATGCCTATTTGCATGGGTAGCCATTCTTTAAAACTAGCCACAGATGCACTCCTAGGGAGCACGTAGATGTTTTTACAGGTGAACCGAAAGAGATGGGAGAGATTCCAAGCACTCCACACGCTGCCTTTGGCAATGCACCCTGTTATTGTGAAGATGTGGTCTGTTAAGCAAATTCGAAGTTCAATATCAGATAAACCCGGCATGAAGGCAGTATTTTCATTTTGTTCATAAAACGTTAATTGTAAACAAAAGATGTGCTGTCTTGTGCATGCATATAAAATCTGGAGCTAGTTACTAAGTGACACATGTATCAAGGGCCTTTGATAAAATGTAAGCAAGGATGTTTCCTTTTTCTACCTTGCCCCTAAAACAATGCTAGCTCCTGTACAAAGAAGTCATTTTTCTTTCTCATATATTTAATTGATATTTTATTTCTTTTGTATGTTTCTCCAGTTGCTTTTTCTGTTTAGCTCTCCCCCACCCTCTCCTTTTCTTGGCATAAGCAACAAGATTTACAAATGGTGTGTGTTTAAGAGTTTCTTAGCCATTTGAAGTACTGTTTTGGCAGATCTTACCAGAACAAAACTGGTACTAAAGATGTGTGTGTTCTTGCCGGGTCAAGTAGTGCAGGGTTATACATATTGGCTCCCAAAATGTGGCAGCAGAGAATCTAACTTTCTAACAGTTACAGTCACCGAAAAGAATACTGCAGCCATTTCCAAACATCTCCCTGTTATGTGTAGACACATCAACAGATACTATCTTCTCCTCCATCGCTGTGTGAAGTAAGCGGCACTGAACAATGGGGATCTGCCTTTATCTCAGTGCTTAACAGGCCAGGAATGCCTGGAAGGTGCTGGTTGCTGCCTTCGTCCCATTGCACATACGACAAGATTGATTTCTAAATTCAGTAATAAAGGTGTGTGCTAAATATCTGCATCTATCTGAGTCTTCCCTTCCTTCAGTAACATGAAAGCCACAGTGTTTTCCAGATCAGATCTTTATCCAAATTCCGCACGGCCTCAAAATTTAACCCTGTTTCTTAAGTGTAACCCATGCCCCTCTTCTTTTAGAATAAGAATCTTAATGCCCCCAAATTTAATCAATTGCTCGTCAGAGGCTGTGTTTTTATAATCTGCCATTTCTTCTGAAGATAAACAGTATCATTTTAGGCATTTGTGAAAGAGAATCATATTACTGGTGCTTAAGCAGTTTTTGCTTTTTTTTAATCTTAATCCATCTTAAACCAGTGGAGCAGAAATATTTAAAAATGTTTCATTTCAAGCGGAGTTCATGATAAATTGCAATAATTGTGATGCGCCATAAATCCCAGAGCCTATGCATTTTGCATTGGATTCAGGATTGAGGTCAGGAAATTTGGAGAAATTTAAAGAAAATGATTCATCAGTCCTTTTGTTCTGTTGGCCAGGGTCCCGGGATTCTTGAGCTGTGCCCAGCTGACGAGCTTTTGAAGATGGCACAATAACTGTCCAGTGATGCCTGACCATGACAGCACAGCCCTCTTAAGCCGGCAAACCAAGAGGAGAAGGGTTGACATTGGAGTGAAAAGGACAGTAGGGACAGCATCTGCATTTTTTGCTAAGGCAAGGGCAACATTTTTCAGTGCCATGAATCCCCAAGGCTCAGAGCAGGATGTTGAATATTCTGTGGTGCAACACGCAGATGGGGAAAAGTCGAACGTACTCCGCAAGCTGCTGAAGAGGGCAAACTCGTATGAAGATGCCATGATGCCTTTTCCAGGAGCAACTATAATTTCCCAGCTGTTGAAAAATAACATGAACAAAAACGGTGGCACCGAGCCCAGTTTCCAAGCCAGCGGTCTCTCCAGCACAGGCTCCGAAGTACATCAGGAGGATATATGCAGCAACTCTTCAAGAGACAGCCCCCCAGAGTGTCTTTCCCCTTTTGGCAGGCCTACTATGAGCCAGTTTGATGTGGATCGCTTATGCGACGAGCACCTGAGAGCAAAGCGCGCCCGGGTTGAGAATATCATCCGGGGTATGAGCCATTCCCCCAGTGTGGCATTAAGGGGCAATGAAAATGAAAGAGAGATGGCCCCGCAGTCTGTTAGTCCCCGAGAAAGTTACAGAGAAAACAAACGCAAGCAGAAGCTGCCCCAGCAGCAGCAACAGAGTTTCCAGCAGCTGGTTTCAGCCCGAAAAGAACAGAAGCGAGAGGAGCGCCGACAGCTGAAACAGCAGCTGGAAGACATGCAGAAGCAGCTGCGCCAGCTGCAGGAGAAGTTCTACCAGGTCTATGACAGCACCGACTCTGAAAATGATGAAGATGGCGACCTGTCTGAAGACAGCATGCGATCGGAGATCCTGGATGCACGGGCCCAGGACTCGGTGGGGCGCTCAGACAATGAGCTCTGTGAGCTGGACCCGGGGCAGTTCATTGACAGGGCTCGAGCCCTGATCAGGGAGCAGGAGATGGCTGAGAACAAGCCCAAGCGAGAAAGCAGCAACAAAGAAAGAGACCACGGGCCAAACTCCTTGCAGCCAGAAGGCAAGCATCTGGCAGAGACGTTAAAACAGGAGCTGAACACGGCCATGTCACAGGTCGTGGACACGGTGGTCAAAGTCTTCTCAGCCAAACCCTCTCGCCAGGTTCCTCAGGTCTTTCCACCTCTCCAGATCCCCCAGGCCAGATTTGCAGTCAATGGGGAAAACCACAATTTCCATACGGCCAACCAGCGCCTGCAATGCTTTGGTGACGTCATCATTCCGAACCCCCTGGACACCTTTGGCAATGTGCAGATGCCCAGTTCCACAGACCAGACAGAAGCACTTCCCCTGGTGGTCCGCAAAAACTCATCCGAGCAATCCGCCTCTGGCCCAACCACAGGTGGCCACCACCAGCCCCTGCACCAGTCGCCTCTCTCTGCCACAGCCGGCTTCACCACCCCTAGCTTCCGCCACCCCTTTCCCCTGCCCTTGATGGCCTACCCATTTCAGAGTCCACTAGGTGCTCCCTCTGGCTCCTTCTCGGGAAAAGACAGAGCCTCTCCCGAGTCCTTAGACTTGACTAGGGACACGACGAGTCTGAGGACCAAGATGTCGTCCCACCATCTGAGCCACCACCCCTGTTCACCAGCACACCCACCCAGCACCGCGGAAGGACTGTCTTTGTCACTCATAAAGTCTGAGTGTGGCGATCTTCAAGATATGTCCGACATCTCACCTTATTCGGGAGGCGCAATATCCTTTTATCTTTCTCCTCAAGAACAAACATAAACAAGAGGCCAAAGGAGGTCCCCCTCACAAGCGTAGCCACCCACACTATACAGGATGTCTAGGGTGGCCTATGTCAGTATGGTTTTTGGCATGTTCTGTGGGGTTTAGTTTTGTTAGGGTTTGGGGACTTTGAGGCAGGGCTTGACTCTTGTAGCCCTGGCTGTCCTGGGTCTCCTGAAGTGTTCAGATGACAGGCATACACAACAGTGTACAGCCAGTACCTTCTTAAGGGTGTAGTCTTTCCTAATACTCATCATAATAGCCTTGTGGGATCCATACACTGTGTGTTTCCGATTGCAGAGAAAGTTAAACACTAACTCCAGCATCGCTGCAACTTTGACAAGTGCATAATTGCCCCTAGGAACTATCTCTAAGGCCGTCTCCCAGCAGTGTTTCCGTCTGCCTTTCTTCCTTGTGACTGTCTTGTCTCCTTTCTGGAGAGCAGATGGAGTGGGGGGGGGCAGGGGGTGACACCTTCTAAATCCTGAATTGTATAAAGATGGTAAGTTTCAGGACAGAGATGAGGAGAAAAGCCAGTTTTCAGACCTGTGATTCCATCCAGAATTCTCACTGCTTTGGAGGCCACCGTGGCTGCAAAGGCGTGACTAGATCTCAGGAAGGCAAGGACGCCACCACTGAGGCTGTGGGATAGCGATGGTTGTGAGGAGGGCTTGCATTCTGTCTTTAATTTTGAAACTTTTTCAGAGGAAATGGGCAGGTACTGATGTATTCCGACGGCGTCAGCCTCTCTGTATCACCAAGGTCTGTTCTGTAGGCTGGGGCAGCTGCCTGTACGCATGAGTGACCTCTGCTCAGCCAAACACAGAAATCTTTTGTCCTGACATACACAAAGCAAATTATTTTGGAAAACGAGAGAACACAGTTAAATCCAAAACTCGGCTATCTAAAAACGGCCCTGTTAGTGGCGCTTTTCCATCCTGACCCTAACTCTTAGGTAGAGATGTCAATTATATTTTTAGCACATCTGTCCTGTACACCAGTGATTTTTAATCCATAACTTTTTTTTCTTCTGTCAGTCAGTCCTTTCAATATTTTTTTTTTCAATTTTGTGGTTGTCTTGGGCAGGGGGATAGTAGCATTTGGGGGCAGGTAGAGACATGTCTCTTGTATAATAAATTAGCAGATGATATAAAATTTAGCAATGAAGTTGGCTGCTACTAAATTGAGGATTTTGAGCAATAGTCTTGATGACAGAGGTTGACATTTTAGTAGCAGAGCCCACTCCAGAGGCTGCACCGAAGTTCCGGTCCCCAGGATGATAGAAGTATGCTCTCATTCCTCCAGGGCAGCTGTTGGTAAAGTGAGCAGAAGCCACAAGCACGAGGCCTCTTGGGCTACTAAGCCCAAGAATCTCTTCCCACCCTGATGAAGACGAGAATGTCTCAGGCAAAGGCAAAGACACCGAGGTCTTAGATCTGAGTCTGAGCTTGTTTGCTGGGTCAGTCTCAGTTTTTCGAAAGCTGGCATTCAGTGCACCAAAAGTTGAGCCCCGCACTTGTGCCCCGTACTCCCAGCTGGCTGTGCATTTTGCTCAGAGCGACTGAAGCAGAGCTGCTGGGCCGGAGGAAGGGAAGGGAAGAAGGTAGGAACACTTGGGCAGTAATCTGCCCAAGAATGTGATCCTGTTAGACTAATGTACGTCTAAGGCTAGACTCCTTGCACCTCAGAGAACTGTATTTTAAACCACATAGTAAAGTAGCTGTGCCCCCCCCCCCCCAGTAACACACACTCATCTTAGTGACCAGTTAAGTTGGGTGGCAAAATCCTAGATGCCCACAGCAGAGTCTCACTGAAAACAGCAGCTTTCTAAGTTTGGACCTGGACTCGTGGTGGATAACTGAAGTTATGCCCTCTTTTTCTGTTAGCTTGTCTTCTAGGGAGAGGAAAGGCGTTGGTTTGCTCTGAGTGTCCACTAAGGTCACTGGGCCATCCTTCTCTCTAAATCCCCTGAGGAATTTTGAGGATTCGAACAAAAAGAAGTCCCTTGTGCAGAGAGACTTTTCATGTCTCCTGCTGCATAGAGCCCCTTTCTAAACAGTAGTGGTAGGCGCCCCCATGTTGGCCTGAAATCCAGGTTTCTGTATCTGGAGTTGCTTCCTTCCCCCAGGCTCCATGGCCTTGAGCCTCTTGCTGTAATTAGCCATTCTGTTTCCCACACCTTGGCCTTCTAACCTCTGGATTTCCACTCTCCTCTACTCCTTGTACCTGTGACTGGCCAGCTTGTCACTAGGCCTGGGTGTCAGAAGAAAAGACAGGCAAGCCACAGCGGGAATCCTCTTCCCACATAGCACCTGCTCCCCTAGGCATGGTTCACCTGCCTGAGACTTCTGCTCTACAGACCATTTTTTTCTGCTCTGTTTTGGGGGGGGGGGTGGATCTCAAGCTTTGATTAATAAAATCTTGAGGAATCACAGCAAGGAATGTTTAACTTCAGTTTTTAGACTACACGGCCCTAGGGGGAAGATATCAATGGAGCAAGTAGAAGTGTATTGGGATGGTACGTGCAGACTGCAAACATTAGTGTGCATTTAGAGTTCTTTAAATTGTCATGAATAACTTTTATTTTCAGACCCTCAGCCTGCTAGGGATTGCACCCAGGGTGTTTTCCATGCTAGGTGAAGAACAATCACTCCAGGACTACGTAATCTCCCCCTTCAAGAACACTCCTTTCTTACTCCGAAGGGCCTTCCTGTTTCTCAGTGCAGTGGCCATGATAATCAGGACTAGTGCTGACTGCCAGCTTCTCGTATGGATCAGGCTCTGTGGAACATGTCTGTCATCTGTGTTTGAAAGGCTCACGGCCTGGTAGTCCCCCTAGAAGGAAGGAAGTCACGGTCGTGTTCATGTCCACCAGAACTTCAGTACACCTGGTCCAAGAGCTCGTGTCTTGGGTATAAAACAGTGTGTTCACTGTCTTTGCAAAGGGATCAGTTTAATCAAATATTAAGTTATAGTCAAATTCCGAAGAATCGCTAGCCAATTGTCTCTCTTTGTGACGTTCCTTGTCTCTCATCTTCTTTGCATCTCAAGAAAAATAGCCTTGTGTGCCTTTCACATTTGCATCCCCCGAGCTCAAGCACAAGGTTGTCAGATGAACCATTAAGAGATGTGAGGCTGGAGGTCCTCAGCCTGTTCTCTGAGAAGGCTTGACATGTGCAAACAATGTCCCAGGAATATTTGGGGTTAAGAAGGAAAAACCATTTCACGAGACAAACTGAAGTCCAACATGAAACACCAGTTTAAAATGATGGTTGTTTTGTTGTTGTTCTTCTTTTTGGTTTGTTGAGAGAAAAAGTCTCACTGTGTAGCCTAGGCTGGCCTTGAGGTCACAGCAATCCTCCTGCCTCAGCACCCCTCATGCTGGGAATATACGTGTGAGTGTGATCTTTGACATTTTTAGAAGCTTTGGAGGCCCTCGGAATTTAACACATAAATGAAATCCTGAATGACTATACACACCTAACCATCTCCAGAAAAAAAAAGTCATTAAAACAAACAAATAAAAACCCATACCCAGCTCTCTGATGTCAGACTCCCGGGAGAGTGACAGCCTGCTCTATTACTGTCGCTAAATGAGAGCTAAAAATCAGTTGAATTTTCTCAGGGAAACCTCAGAACAAATCAGAGAAGGAAACTTCTTTCTGTTTCAAAGTGTTTAGAAAATGGGAAAACCCTCTTCCCCGTGTGGAACCGCAGCTTAGAACCCAGAGTTCAACTAGGGAATTTTTTTTCTTCCTGTAGCCTTCAGGGCCCATTCTTCTTGCATTTGCCTTTTTGCTGCCTGAGCTGTTCCTGCGGCTGCTGTTTAGGTAAGGTTATATTGTGCTTGGTAAACAAACCGCATTGAGACTCTCAGGTTGTTTGGACTCTCAGGTCCAGCTGTACCCCGCTCCTTCCCTGAGCCTTTATATGCCAAGCAGATGTCTTTCATTAATTTATGGATTTATCATCTTTTCTTTTTTTTCCTTTTCTTTTTTTTTTTTTTACACCTGGCAGCCGTCTCAAGTTTCTGCAGTTATTGTCTATTTTGCATTACACATAGAATTGGATGTCATCTGTCTTCACAAAGCTGAGGCTCAGAGAATGGAGCCGCGTGCACGAGCTGCCGGGACAACGCTTGTTTGCACCCCCTCCCCTCCCCCACCCCTTCACCTCCTTAATATTTATTTGTGCTCATTTTCTTTCCTGGCCTTGAATGGAGCTTAGCGCGTGTTCAGTACAGCTGTATGTTTACTGAATCTATTCCATCGTGAGTCATTGTGCGTGTGTAAGTATCCAGGAAACGGCTAGTGCCTTCTTGGAAGAGCAGTTGCTTTCGGCACAAGCACTTAAAAGGGAAATTAACCAATTGGTCAGTTCAGATTGATTTTGAGGAGGCAAAAAAAAAAAAGGATTATCTAACTGCTGGCTTTTAAATGTTTCATTAGCTATTTTTAATAGTTTATTAGAAACATATATTTTATGAGAATTTTATCTTAATTACACAAGGATCGCAAGCGACAGAGGCAGGGTCTGTTTCTCTTTGGGCGGATGGTGCCAGGTATTACCAACCAGAAACATCTTGAAGCAAAAACTTGAGCAAGCCAGATCAAAATAATGTTTTAATTTTTTCATTAAATAAAAGTCTCTAAATTCTGATTTTAAAAGGGAATGGATTTTTTTAAAATACAAAAAGCTAAAATATCTTAGCAAAATTGAGATGCACAGAAAGCCCCAGGGTATTCGGGCAGCTCTGAGCCTCTCTTAGACACACGGCTGAACAGTTTGTCTTTTGTATGAGACCAAATCTACAAGATTTGGGACTTTAGAATCATAGGCAGGGCCCTGAGAGAGAAAAGATTAGAGCCCAGATCGAAGATGTTCATCCGAGTTGGGGCTCATTTGAAAACTCTTATCGTGAGGCTGGGAGCAGCTTGCAACTGAGATTTCACTTATCCGTTTGGGCAGATGGTCCTGAAGTGCGCGGCTCCTTTCGTGGTCTCCATCAGCCTAATGGAGGTTACTGCGAGACCTTTCAGCTTTTCCTTGGCACAACAAGTATGTCAGCCATAAATTGCCGTCTTTGTGATCATTAAGGGCCTTAAACAAAAACACAAGTCCAGTTAAGCTGCTTTGGCTTCCACATAGAAAAATCAAAATTTCTTTCTTCGGTGTTTATTCTCAGTTAAACACACACACACACACACACACACAACCACCATGGTTAACTTTTCTATTTAAAAAATGACGATTTTCTTTTCTTTTTTTTCCATTAACAACATAGGATATAAAGGAAGATGTCCCCAGAACACATTCATGGCTGAGTGTTTGGTCGGGAGTAGTCAGAGCTTATCAATATTGATTTGATTGTACCTCTCTAGTTCTTTTCTGGTTCCCCACTATTCCTACAACTCACAGTGCCATTCCTCGTGGAGGTCACTGGGAACCTGTTCTCTTTCCCAAATGTCTGTTTATCTGATCTTTCTTCCTAAGGTGTGAGGTTTTCACCGGGTAGCTTCCCATGTGTGGGACACACACACACACACACACACACACACACACACACTTGCTTTTCTGTTTTCCACCTTTATTTGTTCCCTACTCTCTTTTAAGAGAGAGTCCTTAGAGGAACCTCTAGGAAGGACCCTTAATTGACCTTGTGGGGACCACATTGATTTTCTCCACGTGCATCTTCATCTCTGATAAATTATAAAGCCATTAATTTGCTGAGGAAATGGCAGGGCCAGGCTGCGGCACAGATGTGACCAGAGCTATCCCAGCTCGGAGCCTGCTGAGGAGTGCCAAGAATCTGAGAGAGAATCAGGCAGCCTGGATTGTTATGGTTAGCCTCCCATTCTCCTGGGAACTGTTTTCCTTGCCACTGTTTACAGATCTAAAAGGTGACGATGTTTCCAGATAAATAGGCCTTCTTATTTGGGGTAAGTGGCTACTTATTGATCTGCTAACCCACATGTATTGATTTGTTAGCCCCCGACTACTGTGTCATTCTCAAAGGAGTTAACTATAAATCCAGGATGGGCAAATTGTATTTGGTGTTGAACTGTTGTCTTAACAAAAGCAACACCACACTCCTTGTTCTGTCCTGCCAGAGTACCCCTCCCAAACATAAATTGCCGCTAAAAGAAACGGTTCAAAGACGGTCGGAATAAGATAAGAAGAAACTGAGTCTTGAAGCCTCACCGTGACAGTGCTGCAAGGGGGGGGACATGGAGCCTGCGTGATCATGTTCAGAATAGCGTGCTGTGTAGCTCTACCTAGGTCGGTGTGATGACCACAGGCAAACAGAATGTAACTGCAGACAGAGAGCAAGGCTCCTGGGTAAGCTTCCGGCAGTGGTGTTAGGCTGGTCTGTCTCCTTAGCAACAAGTGAATTGTATGGATAGCATACTGGACTTCGAATGGAGAAGGAGGGCTTGGCCACCCTCATCAGGAAGTAGCCAAGAATATGCAACTGAATTGAGCATCCTAACCATTTCCTTCGGCAATCCAAAACAGTCAGTGAGCAAGGTGGCCAGTCAGTAATGGATTCCACAACCCATATGGGTGACCACTCAGCTTGCCCAGGCTTGTGGGGACTCCAGACTCTCTGAGTATGTGTGGAGATGGGGACAGGAGGGATAACCCCTTTCATTTAACCTTGTTTGTGCCTTAACTGATTGCATCCTACATGCAGGAAGGGTTGTCACCCAATCACTTGAAAAAGGCAAAGCTCATGTTCTTTTACACCCGCTACCCCAGCTCCAACATGCTGAAGACCTACTTCTCTGATGTGAAGGTAGGGGCCGCTTTTATATTCCCCCTCTTTCGTTGTCTATGGGTGCAGCAGTGGTCCAGACTCTTGGGAGTTAATGGAAATGAGTGTGGGGTCAACTTCCGATGACGCCTGGGCTGTGAATGATTGGCCATTCTTGTCCTTTCATCCAAAGGTGCGAAGCAAAAATACCACTTGTCTATTAAGACCTGAGGTTGTTTCCCAAGTCACATGCGTGACCAGTGCAGTCCAGGAGACTTTGCCTCTGTCTTTACATGTTTTAGTGGTTTCCTGGATGAAATCTCTCTTGGTAATGTCTGGATGTTCCAGGGGAAAAAAAATCCACTGTTTTTGCAGCAGTAGACTGTTTCTGTTTTTGTTGGTTTCTCTGTACGCTAACTCTCAGCACCTCCTCGCCTCCTGTCGAAAGGAGCGAACGCTGAAATTCTCTATGCAGTAGCTGCTTAAAAACAAAAGTGATGATTGTCTCTTATTTACAACTTAATTTGTTGTTGATGTAGAGTACACGGAGCATAAGGGGGAATGAATAAAGTGACAGATTCAGGACACATTATTCAAATGAGGATATGAAAGCTGTCGGCCTACAGCTGCAGCCCCCCTCATTCTGTACAATACTGGGACCTCCTAGTTCTCTCGGGGGGGGGGGGGTGCATGCATGTGCATGTGTGTGTGTGCGTCCATGTGTGTGTGCACGCACAAGTGTTTTGTATATGTGTGGGTTTGAAGTAATTATCTGCATCAACCTGGAGTTGTGTTAATCATGTGTAACTTTTTAAAAACAGACTGGGCTTTGGTGATTACAATGGCACTCATGGTATCATTATCCAAGGAATTTGATAAACATTACATTAGCTGAGATTGGTTTGGGAGGAGGGGTTGGGTGCCCCCCAACCCTTCCCCTGCCTACCTCAGTGTATACAGGTTCTGATTTCTTCCATCCAGGTCTCACAAGCCACCAAGATGAGCTTGTTTTCCTGCTTGCTCTCCCTCACTCATGCTGGCCTGCATCTCAGGCCCAAGCCGAGCCTATGGCTGCATTTTGGCAGGCCAGTTCATGTTGGTTTCATCACTAATATTTAATTTGGCCTTATGGGAGAAGTTTTGTTTTCCTTCTGTTTGCTTCTGAACTGTGTATTAACTTCAGCCTTTTCTCTCTTGCTGTGTTGCTTAAGTGGGAGGTGTGTTCTTTTCCAGCGCCAGCTAACTGGACAGAGTGGGGAAAGTAGCCTGAGGCTGGAAAAGGAACCATAGGCACACAAAAGGCTGGTGCCATAGGGGGTCAGGGAAAGAACCTGGATTTGGTGGGTGGCGCTCTATAGTGGACCTGTTGGTTGGAGCAAGTGGTTGAGGACTGGCCAGTGTTAGTCTCATTCACAGGCATGCCCAACCTTTTGACAGTGGGACAGGACGTTGCCATTTCCAAAGTTCCTACTCAAGAACTGAGTTTTAGTTTAGCAGTAATGATAAACACACACATCACAAAAATAATTTTCATAATGTTTTTAGTAAACTTGTCTACATTTATAGTTGTCCTTGGTTGTCAGGTGGAGATGCCTGAAAGCCTTCTAGGACCTGGCCAACCTGGCTTTGTCTCTAAAAAGGAGACAAGGAGGGTTGTAATAATGTGTGTGTCATGTGCACACATGTGTGTGTCCTGTTACCTCCTGGTTCACCCCTCTCTCCACCATAATCTGTTGCATTCTTATAATGTTATGACATTGTCTCATATGTTTCTCTATAGCACCTTCTCCCATCCAGAGACTGACCAAAAAGCTTTTTAAACACTGGTAACACAGTAGTGAAATGAGCCTCCTGGGATGTGGGGGTAGAAAACCCAAGCCATTTTGAGCCAAACAGCACTACTCAGGAGTAGATACGGGCATTAATAATGTCCTAATTCTGTGTATTTGCATGAATGCCAAGGGACTGAGATAGATCTGAGGAAAAGAAGCTTCTCGTTCCCTCAGAACGCAGCGAGTAAACCTAACTGCACATGGAACCACTTACTCTGTCTAAGCCACAATAAAGTACCTGGGAAAATGTTTTATTTTTAAATGCACTAATATTCTATTATAGATTCGATCCATACTTTAACCCCACTAAGAGGGGTTGTGGCTAAAGTCTGCATGAGTTTAGTTGAACAATAATGATCCTCTGTAATGAAAGGCAACAGTAGCATGTGCGACCCACAGCAGAAAGCCACGCAAGGTCATCTCTCTTTCATTTTTGGAATGAATTATACATTTTTAAGTTTCCTAATTACATCTTTCGATTTGGCTAGTAATAAATGAATTTGTATTCCCTGAGCTAACGAGAGCGATGCTTGCGTGACGTGCGCAGGAGCCAATTGAAACGAAGCACTTCAGACCTTTGAGAAGACAGTGCAGAGCAGCCCAAGCTCTCTAAAGTTCGGGTGACCCCGCGTCTTGTTGATTCCCTGTTCCTGTACAAGCATGTGTCTATTGTGCTGATCACATATATCTACATAAGTCATTATCTGTTTCTTTTTGAGGCTAAAAGAAATAGATACCGTGCTATGTATGGATGCACAGGGAAATTTTTACTGCAGTTAAGATTCAAGAAACCATTTTAGAATTCGGAGACCTCTAGAAATTGAGAAAGGGATCCTAGAATTTCATCAGAAATGCCACCTGGTTATATTTCTTGAAAAAGACATACAACACTGGGTTTGGCACGTTCATCTTTAAAAAAAAAAAGTCCTAACCCTAATAAGATATACTCTTTCAAATTGTTGAGTCTTTTCCACTTCAAATAGTGACTATGCATTCGTTTTGCAGTGAAAACAACCAGGAGAAACAGTATATGCAGAAACTATTTAATTTCTTGAGTTAGATGCTGGCTAGATGTCTGCCACAGCTATGGCTGGAGATCGGGTGTTGGATGGAGCTTATCCTTCTGAAGGCGAGCTGAGACCAAGTGAGGCACATGACTTCATGTCTCCCTCCAGGCCTGGACCACTGCTGGCCATCCCCAAGTGGCTTCAGTCACCCAGGAGAAGAGTTAGAAGCTGTCACAGGCCCTCAGAGATGCCGTGCAGGGATGGCGGACATGAGAGACAAGTCCTGGGCCACCTTAGCTCAGCTGCTCCAGTGAGAATCCAGAGTTCTGTGTTCTCTCAGAGACTCCACTCCCTCCACGGACACTTAGCAAACAGCTCTGTTCATCCTGCCTTCAGGTCCATTGAGAATAAGTTTGTGAATTGTACAAGAGATGCCAGGATGGAAGGGCCTCCCTGGCTTCCCGTTCACCGCTGGGTGATTTTAACATACACACCAATAACTCCTAGACCACTAAGCACAACAGATTCGGTGTCATCTCAGCTTTGAGGAGCAGGCGTTCACAGCCTTTCAAGCCTGCCGTGTTAAATGATGTATCTCGTTCCCTCCACCCCTTGAGTCAACTGCTGCCTCGCCGGATTAAGGTGTCAGGTTGATTTGTTTTATACATCTTTTGACCATGCTCATTGAATATTTAGGAAGTTTCTCCAGCCCATATTGAGGCTGAGATGTCCCGTGGGAAGTATTAATCAAAGTCACGGAGGCTCGCACACTCTGGAAACACAGCCTCTTTATTGAAGCGATTAGTTTTTGCAGTAACACATTAGCACACTACAGAGCTTGCCTTTATAGAACAATTGATCCTTTGCTCGTAAAGCGCTACACAGAGCACGCGGAATTAACTCTTTTAAAGTTGAATTCTTTTCCTCCTTCCACGTGAAGATCTAGAGAACAAGCCGCTTGCGTTTTGCTCTTAGCCAGGAACGGAAAACAGAACACATTTCGTTTCCCCTTCATGGCGGTGAAAGCCCCGCTCTCGGAGCTGTGGACACTGCTCTTTTTGCCTATCTCGGGTTTGGAGTCTGTTGTTTCTGCCCATTCTCTCTCTCTGGTATTTCCAGCCTCCAACAATACGCTTTAAATCTCCCTTTATGTCCCGTTCGTTCATAATGGCAAGCGCACTTACTTTTTTGTCCCCCTCCATTAGGTCATTCATGACCATTCTAGAAAAAAAAAATGCCCCTCTATTTTTTCCCCCTACAGTACTCTTGTCCATATGAGACAATGTCTTGTAACAATACAGAGGCCTAATCTCCATGTCAAAGCAATTTTCATTCCCCAGTGCCCAGCCTGCTATCATTTTGTAATGTTTTGTTTCTTGTTCTAAAAGAATTAAAAAGGAACAGTTAGCCGTCACGGGGGCCTGTAGGCCTTATCTCAGTGTCTGGAAATTTGGACAGTGTATTTTACTGCTCAGATAAAATGGAAAGAAGTCCAAGTTCAGCAAATCGTAATGGGTTTAAGTTCTATTGAAATCGGCCACCAGAAGATCAGATAACGGGGGTCCTTCAGTTGTCTTTCTAATCGGGTTCCCCGCGAGGCTGAATGGAGACAGAGCAGGCGCACAGAGTGAAAATATAATTCTTGGACAGGTTAAGTACATGTTTGAACTCTTGCAAGCAGAAGCGGTTTGCTGATGACTTAATCATTTTCTGTTCAATTATCTGTAAGGGCCCTTGCAACTCCACGGCAATTAGGATGCAAGATGGCCTTTTGGGAGGAACACCAGTCCCCTGCTTCTGTTTCCTTGTGACTTCTATTCTCTGCCATAAATTTTCATTCGCTTGTTATCTGTGCTGGTAGAGAAACAACTTTCTGCCGTAATTACAGGCCCCACACACTTTAGCTGTCAGCTTCTTGCAGCCTGGAGATTCTCAGGGCCAGGATTTGATAAGTGTTCCTTGTTGATATTTGATGGATGGACACCCTTTTCTGGGGGCCCAGGGAAGGGAATGGACCTGATGGCAAAAGGCAGGGGTGTCTGTCAGCCTGCCCCATAGAAAGCGATGGATTTATTGGTTCTGACTTGGCAAGTTAGGACACACCTGTCCTTTTCGTGAGGAAAGCAGTCAATAAGGATGGGACCATTTGCCCATCCAGGAAGACATCTTCATTTCAAAGGTTGTTGGGAAACCTGGGTAAACAGACTTTTAAAGCCCAATCATGCTATAGTAACGTGGCATTTAAAAAGAAACGTAATAAAGGTCCTGTCTCTGCCATCTGTGAACTGTGTCTTAACCACGCCTCCCAGACAACAGGGCAGTCAAGGGAAGGGGCCATGGGCCTTGCAAGTCCTGGTGGCAGAGAGCACAGGAACAGGTGTCAAGGTTCCCCCAGACCACACTGGAAGTAAATACGGTGGCCGAACTGTAAAATGCATGGATTACAGAGACATGGGCGTGGGGTCACCCAGCACCAAAACCTATGCACAAATGAGTCTTACCATTTTAGAGAAAAGCAGGTTTCCCTCATTGGATACAATTGCCACGTAGTGATAGAAATTCTTATTTAAAATATACACAGGGCTAGGGAAATTCTTATTTAAAATATACACAGGTACAGGGGTAGAGCATGTGTCTAGCATGCATGGGGCCTGTCTTTAGTCTCCACACACACACACACACACACACACTCACACACTCACACTGTCACACACAGTCTCACAGACAGTCCTACACACACCCATTCTCTCTCGCTCTCGCTCTCGCTCTCTCTCTCTCTCTCTCACACACACACACATACACACACACACCATGTCCTACTGCTGCTGACGTCATACTGGAGCTTGGAAGTACCAACTCTGCCTAGGACCCTGGCTCCAGTGGTTCTCCATGCAATAAGCAGATGCATGCCCTCTACTGAAGGTAGAACAGTGGGGTTTTCTGTAAATAAGAGATAATCCATCCATGGAACATCTGACTTAGACTATGGCTTCTCCATTTGGAGTGGTGTAGAGAGTGTGGTTTCTGTCACGAGTGTACCTTCTAATACTCTGTGAGAATGGTTGTTCCGCTTGCCACCATTTTGGTGGAAGTTACTACTCGCTTTGCAGGTAAAATGGGGAGGGAAACATTAAAAATGCTCCTGATACTGATACTTATGCGAAGTCAGCTAACAGAAGAGCAGCGGCATGCTCACCGTTTTCAACATTTAAATTTAACAGTTCAACAGATGCATTACCTCCCAGCTCATCAAGTGGTTCAGCAATTTCCGTGAGTTTTACTATATTCAGATGGAGAAGTATGCGCGTCAAGCCATCAACGACGGGGTCACCAGCACAGAAGAGCTGTCCATCACCAGAGACTGTGAGCTGTACCGAGCCCTCAACATGCACTACAACAAAGCAAATGACTTTGAGGTAGGAGCCAGTCTTCAGGCTTTGGTCGTCTCCTTTTTCATTACTTGTTTTCATGCTCTTTGGGAAGGACTCTGTTTTTTTGCAATGGTTTCTTACTTAAGCATACGTGGTAGCATGCCAGGCAACCAGGAGAATCATGTGTCTCCCCCACAGCCGTTCCATTTCCACGCCCCCCCCCCCAATCCAGCTTACATGGAAGAGAATGCAGGCAAGAGAACTGAAAAGTCTGAGGCAAAGGGCAAACATAGGATGATTTCATTTATGTTGTGGGGTACACACATGAACTGAAGGGTACAGACTGTGTGCAATGTAACTGCAAAAGTGTCTGCTTAAGAAGTCTAGAGATGGTGGGTAAGTGATTCCATGATTTCTACCTTCACCTATGTCCTTCCTGGGAAGAAGTTGCATGAGAATTTACTGAGCCTATTTCAAAAGATTGCATTCATTTATTTTTTTGCTTATAAATTTTTAGTTGCATTTCTATGTATTTGTTTAGTGTGTGTCCACAAATGTGTGGCCTTGACTGTGTGGGGGGCGGAGGCTATGCTTGAACCATAGAGTGCCCACCAAGTTCAGAGGACAACTGTGGGAGTCGGTTCTCTCCCTCTGCCATGTGGATCCCAGGAATTGAAATGGAGTCTTCAGGCATTGTGGCAAGAACGTTGACCCGCTGAGAGATCTCGCCAGCCTGACTTTGGTTTTTATTTATGTTTGCTTTGGGGAGGGATGAGTAGCTTGTGCGTTCCTCTTACATATGGGACCATTCTAGATGCGTGCACAGCGATACAGACAATTCCCAGGAAGCCATATCTGTGCAACAATGAAAGGTGTGTGGGCTGCGAGTCAGGTGCTTCTTTACGGGCTGATGCGGAGCCCTGGCACAGTTGTCATCGACATGATGACTGCATGAGACCACAAGAGCAAGCTCCCAATGCTCACAGTCATTTGCTGAGCCCTGCTGGTCTGGGCAACAATAGCTGGAGGTGGGGGTGGGGGGTGGGACTTCTATAGACAGCCCCTAGGAAGAGGGTAGACCATACCAGCTGTGCCTTGACTATGCTGATCATTCCTTAAACCTTCCTGGCTAGATCCTGTGCCACTGCGAGGCAGGAATCTGAGGGACCTTATGCCAGTATCCTTGTTCTATAGATGAGTACCCAGGGATACCCAGAAACATCTTTATGTCAAGGGAAAGAGGAACCCCAATGGTCTGGCTTTGTCTGTAGAGAGACCTGACCCTCTCTCTCCCGGGTAGTATATTCTCACTGCCTGTTCATTCCTTTCCAGCTCTTCTCCCTGTTGTTCTGGGCAATGCAGATCAGTTCTGAGCTTTTAAAGAACGGGGCATGCAAGTTTCACAAAGGGGAAGTCAAAATTTTTCCTTGAAAATTTGAACGGTTTGAAAGATAATCTTCTGCTGAATGCGTTAAAAATAGGAGTTCTTGGAATTCAAATCCACTATCTTTTTATTTGTTTATTTACTGTGTGTGAGAGAGAGGTCTAGAGAGTGGAGAGGCCAGAGGGCAACTTGCGGGAGTCAGTGGTTTCTTCTCTTTTCATCTCATGAATCCCAGAGAAGGAACTCAGGCCGCCAAGCTTGACTGCAAGGTCACTCACTACCTTATCCTCTGAGCCACCTAGCCCCCTTCTGTTTTCAAAGTCTCCACTGTCACCACATTGGTTGATGGTGTGGATAAATTATAAGCAAATGTTGCCTTCCAGGCTGGGTATAGTGGCACATGCCTGTAATCCCAGCACTGGAGAGGCAGAGGCAGGTGGACATGGGAGTTGGTGGCCAGCCTGGTCTAAAGCAAGTCCCAAGACAGCCAGAGCGATTACACAGAGAAACCCTGTCAAGAAAAACAACAGCAACAATGTTGCCTTCCAAAGCTGAAGTCATTGCAAGTGGCTAGATATTTGAAGAAATCTTGTGTAAGAATTTAGCTTCTTGTTTCTTCTCTTCCAAGACTCTACTCCAGGAGCTACTGCTGCCCACCAATGAACTAATCACATTATATTCTAACAAATACACGCTGGGCATGTGCCTCGGTCTCCATAAAAAGACTACCCAGTGTTCATTAGGCAATTTCTGATCTCGAGCCAGAAGGGACAGGCCCTTTAAAAGCACACTGGGATCTTCAGGGCACTTAAACCTACCTGCTGAAATTTAATCCCCTATCCCCAGCACAGGGAGCAGAACGGCACAAGCAGGAGACACTGGCATCAAGAGGTACCCAGCAAGCTGCTCCGTTTAGCATCATCCAAAGCCTCCTTCATATGATTACCATCTGATAGCTCTCTCTCTGGGAATCAAATCCACTTCCAGCCAGGCCACCTCGCCTTTATCTGCATAGTCTATTTTAAGACTGCTGCACTGTGAGGAGAGTGGGGCCTAGGCAGGAATCCTGTCACTTCTCATGTGACTTTGGGCAAGTTATTGGACTGTTCTGAGGCTCGTTCCTCCTTCACTTATAAACAAAACCAAAAAAAAAAAAAAAAAAACAACAACCAACCAACCAACCAAACAAACAAACAAACAAACAAAAACCAGCAAGATACAAAACATGGGCTCTTTCCAGAAATGTGGAAAGCAAGACTCAGCAGCTTGTACTCTAACATTGTTACTCGTGCACACACAAACTTATGTGTACACACACACACACACACCACCACCACCACCACCACCACCACCACCACTACCACCACCACTAAATAGATTTTAACTCAGTCTCTGAGTCTGGCACATTGACTTACAAGGCTTCAGATAAGGGGTGCCTCCTTTTCCGTGCCTTTGAGCATGGAGGTCACTGCTTGAGTGAGATGCTTAAAACGCCACCGTTCTTATCTCTGCAGCTTTGCCAGTGTGGGCTGTGGCTGCAAGCCAAAAGTAGCCCCGGCACCTCTTGCCGAATGCCTGGGATGATAGTGTGCACAGCTTCACTCTTGCATTGAAGTCTCTCTTCTTAACATCAACTAAAATAGACCAGGAGCTCCAGCATAAGCTAGAGGGAAAGGTGGGAATGTAGTCTCTGTCTCCAGAACATTAAACAGAGATGAAGCGTAGTAGAGACAGGGGTTACATCTCTATGATGCTCAGAGATCCAGTCAGTACAAAGGAACAGGCTATCCCCCTATTAGCTGCTCAAACCATCCAACATCTTATAGATTACATATTAAAATTCTCCTAAGCCTGGGAAGACGGCTCAGTTGGTAAAATGTTTGCCAGACAAGCACAAGGACCTGAGTTCTAACCCCCAGCTCCCGTGTCAAAGCTGGGGGAAGGGGGAGTGGGAGGGCAGATCTCTGGAACTCAGGGGCCATGAGCTCCAGGTTCAGTGAGAGACCTCGTCTTAAAAACAAGATGGGGAGTGACAGAGCAAGACGTGAGATGCCAATCTCGGACTGCCACATGCACTATGTACATGTCCCCACACAAGCAAACATATACATGCACGTGCGTGCGCGCACACACACACACACACACAAACACGCACACTTTCTCACCAATTGTATATAACAATAATAAAATAGCTAGCACCTGTTGACTGTTTACTGATATTCCTTTGTGGGGATTCATGGCTTTAACTTCCTGCTGGGGGCACTAGCAGTGACAAGGATAGAAACAGAACAATGAAGGCAAGGCTTAAATGGTTTCTAGGTTATCCCAAGTGGGTGGGGCCCGTGCAGCGGACAGGGAGCAGGATTCCCTCTGACTTTCCCCTTCAGTACTAGGATGTTTTCTTCCTTCTTTTCTGCCTCCTGCTGCTGGTTTCTGGGAGGCCCTGGGTGCCACCCACCAGCCTGTGTCCTCTGCCCTTGTTTAGCACCAGCCTCCTTCAGTCTCTGACTCTGGTGGCTCTGCAGAGGAGAGGCTGCCTATTCCTGGCCTACCAGGAAGCAGTTGAGGAAGGTTTGTCACCGGGCAGGAGGGAGTGGCCTGCAGAGCTCTGTCCTCCCTGGCCTTCTAACTCTGCCTGCCTTTTGTATCAGCTTTCACAATAGCCAAGACTCTTGGCACGGCATCCAAACTCGGGGTGTTGAGAGTTTGAGACAGCCCAGGGGAACGCGGGAGAAGAACTGAAGGGAGAAAGCGGTGCCACTTCTGGTTTGTACCAAAGGGAGGGGAGTCGGCTCCACAGCCCGGGGTGTGTCGTTTCTAGACGGAGTTACAGACGCGCAGGGAGAAGGTGTGTGATCTCAGCTGCATCTTCCACCCCTGCCTCTCCCGTGTAATGCGATTGGCAGCAAGAAATCCATCTTTCCAGGTGTGATGGTGTATAGCTCTGGGTTTTATTCTCACTTCACTTTGAAGGGGTTCCAAAAGATTTTTTTTATGGGCAGGGAAGGGAGGTTTGGCATTGCTTTCCAGTTGTTAAATCATAGCCATACTTCCGACTTCAGGGGCCAATGAAGTCAGATCTTATTGCTTTTTTGTTTTCCTCTCCACTGTGGGAGGAGGAAGGCAATGATGCCCGTTAGTTCCCAAAGCCAGTTTACCAGTTTGTGAAGAATCATGCTTGATGCCTAACCCGTATGACTCAGAGGTTATTCCCGCTGTTTGTGGAGCCCAGAGAGCCAAGGTGTGGATGCTGCCTTGGTGCAACTCAGAGGACAGGATGAGGTAGAGGCTGGGGACTTGGGGTGACATGAGTATGAATTGAGACGAAGATGAGATATCTGTCACCCGGCACATGGGGCCCACTTTCTCAGTGGCTATCGTCGGTACTTGCACTGTGGAAAGCCAGGCCCCTTGCAGGCCCCTCAAGTGGCTAGTCAGCCCGTCGGCAGAGTCCACGTTCCCAATGAGACTGACTAATCTCCCTTGCCCCTTGCTAAAGGCTCAGGTTGGAGGCTGGAAGGCTTAGAAATAAATAGACCCTGGAACTTGACTCATTCATTAGTGGGCTGGTAAATGCCACTTCCTACGGTAGCGATAGGCATAGCATGTCACTGGGTATATCCATCACAGAGACTGTGGGGTTGACATTTCTCTAACGACA